TGCAGTGTGTCCAGCAGCAGTCAAGTCGACTTGCATTCCAAAGGGGCTGACTAACCCAATGACACACATTCACATACCTGAGCTCTGCCCACCTCTTCTTTCTTTTGGCCCATGTGTGTCAAAGAGAGAGGAAAAGAGAAAGAAACACAGAGACAGAGAGCGAGAAGGAGGGAGAGAATTAGTAAGTGAGAGAGTGAGGGAAACATTGTGCAGGCTCCAGCCATTCCAGAGTAACTGATTAGTACATAGCTGAAGAGCTCTAGCACTAAGAGGCTCTCTCCACTATCTATCTCCATATGATGACCGTTTAGCTAAGACAAGTGGGTCACTACTGTATAGACAGATACAGAGTAAAGATATATTGTTCAGGGTCGTGTTCATTATGCACGAAACTGAAGAAAATGGACTGAAATAGAGAGGTCTTAGGATAGAGCTAGGATAGAGATTCTAATTCCTAATTATATGGGTACTACCTTAACTTGTCCAATCAGCAACGCTCAGTTTTGTTTTCCGTTGCTAGGGCGTGCCTAATGAACACGACCCTAGGTCACCAAGCATCTGAGAGGAAGACTTGCAATGAAAGCTCCGGTCACCGGCCAGGCTAGACAGAAGAAGATGTCAGGCTTGTCTAGACAACAATACAAAGAGGAGAGGGTAAAGAAAGGTGAGAGGTTACAACTAGCCAATGAGAGCAGAGAAGGAAGGAGTGAGGACAAAGCTACAATTGTCATGGTTCCACCTGTCACCAGAGGGCAGCAGAGACCACCCTAGAGACTATAAAGACAGGTGTTTTCAGTTACTAATTATGATTTCCTTTTAGAGAGGTGTTTTCTGTTGCCCTTTGCAGAAGCTTGATTCATTTGCTGTGTGCGTTTGTCTCCTGAGTAAGTTGTCGAGTCATAGTGTTTGTTGTTTTCCCAAGTTTTACTTTGTACCTATTGTTGAACTTTTTCCCAGGAAAGTATTTCAGTTTATTCTAAACCACTGGTTCCTCGTCTGGTTCTCTTCTCTGCTCCTGGGTCACCTCACCACGTCACAAAATGTACGGCCTGTAAGGATGTTGTACATCCTATATGTTATCCAAAGAGGACTTCCAATCAGTCAAACTTGATGCCCAGTCCACTAAACACTTAGTTAACACAGGATCATTCAACCCAACAAAACGTTCAGTATTCTGGGCACCTATAATTGTTTTCTTTTCTCCAGCTCTTAGCAAGAACCTCCAGGTTTTCCCTCTATCTCGGTTCTCACCTTAAAGAGATGTCCTGGTTTTTATGTGTTCATGGAGGGCTCATCTGCAAAAGAGACCGTGGTCTCAGCGTGTCTCCTTGCTTAAATAATGGTAAAAATAAATACAAAAAAAGTTAAATGAAACTGAAACCACTTGACTCCTTAGTGGACAGATATTACGCACCCCCCCCCCCCCCCCCCCCCCCCCCCCATAGGTAGATGAGGTAAGGTAGTCATTATAATAACACCACTCTGTTTGTGTATGTTTCTATTGCTGTCTCTCTTGTAAATATAGATTCTCTTTGCCTGGTAAAATAAAGGATGTACATACAGACAATGACAATGAGATATTTCACACTCTGATAACATAGCTTTATTACACAGAGACTGTCAGACGACATAACGATGTAACATCACATGTACCATCATTATTTTCATAGACGATCCCGGAACAGTGCTCATACAGACACTGACACTGCACTGACAGTGAGAAACATGGACAAATTCATAGATTTACAAGCCATTTAGTTACCAATTGAAAACGTAGAAGTCTGTAGCGAAGGAAGTGAACCTGCTAGCTCCAGTTGTTCAATGACTGTACAGTATACGGTGGGGAAAAAAAGTATTGTCAGCCACCAATTGTGCAAGTTCTCCCACTTAAAAAGATGAGAGAGTCCTGTAATTTTCATCATAGGTACACGTCAACTATGACAGACAAATTGAGAAAAAAAAATCCAGAAAATCACATTGTAGGATTTTTTATGAATTTATTTGCAAATTATGGTGGAAAATAAGTATTTGGTCACCTACAAACAAGCAACATTTCTGGCTCTCACAGACCTGTAACTTATTCTTTAAGAGGCTCCTCTGTCCTCCACTCGTTACCTGTATTAATGGCACCTGTTTGAACTTGTTATCAGTATAAAATACACCTGTCCACAACCTCAAACAGTCACACTCCAAACTCCACTATGGCCAAGACCAAAGAGCTGTCAAAGGACACCAGAAACAAAATTGTAGACCTGCACCAGGCTGGGAAGACTGAATCTGCAATAGGTAAGCAGCTTGGTTTGAAGAAATCAACTGTGGGAGCAATTATTAGGAAATGGAAGACATACAAGACCACTGATAATCTCCCTCGATCTGGGGCTCCACGCAAGATCTCACCCCGTGGGGTCAAAATGATCACAAGAACGGTGAGCAAAAATCCCAGAACCACACGGGGGGACCTAGTGAATGACCTGCAGAGAGCTGGGACCAAAGTATCAAAGCCTACCATCAGTAACACACTACGCCGCCAGGGACTCAAATCCTGCAGTGCCAGACGTGCCCCCCTGCTTAAGCCAGTACATGTCCAGGCCCGTCTGAAGTTTGCTAGAGTGCATTTGGATGATCCAGAAGAGGATTGGGAGAATGTCATATGGTCAGATTAAACCAAAATAGAACTTTTTGGTAAAAACTCAACTCGTCGTGTTTGGAGGACAGAGTGCTGAGTTGCATCCAAAGAACACCATACCTACTGTGAAGCATGGGGGTGGAAACATCATGCTTTGGGGCTGTTTTTCTGCAAAGGGACCAGGACGACTGATCTGTGTAAAGGAAAGAATGAATGGGGCCATGTATCGTGAGATTTTGAGTGAAAACCTCCTTCCATCAGCAAGGGCATTGAAGATGAAACGTGGCTGGGTCTTTCAGCATGACAATGATCCCAAACACACCGCCCGGGCAACGAAGGAGTGGCTTCGTAAGAAGCATTTCAAGGTCCTGGAGTGGCCTAGCCAGTCTCCAGATCTCAACCCCATAGTAAATCTTTGGAGGGAGTTGAAAGTCCGTGTTGCCCAGCAACAGCCCCAAAACATCACTGCTCTAGAGGATATCTGCATGGAGGAATGGGCCAAAATACCAGCAACAGTGTGTGAAAACCTTGTGAAGACTTACAGAAAACGTTTGACCTGTGTCATTGCCAACAAAGGGTATATAACAAAGTATTGAGAAACGTTTGTTATTGACCAAATACTTATTTTCCACCATAATTTGCAAATAAATTCATTAAAAATCCTACAATGTAATTTTCTGGATTTGTTTTCCTTATTTTGTCTGTCATAGTTGACGTGTACCTATGATGAAAATTACAGGCCTCTCTCATCTTTTTAAGTGGGAGAACTTTTGGTGGCTGACTAAATACTTTTTTCCCCCACTGTATTTTGTTTGTTTGTACTGTGCTGTACCTACAACGGTCACCTGACATAAAGTATATACACACACGTTTACCAGTTAAATCCTACATATAGAAGACACATCCACAAAGGTGCTATCCCTTTAATATAATTTTGTACAAAAGGCAGTGCTTCATTAAACTTTAGTTTAGTGGCCTTGTTCATTGTTGTGGCACCACTGCTCAGTTCTGGCATTCCATTGGACCAATATTGATTGATGCATCATAAAGGCATTATAAAAAATATAGCACAGCATTTTAAACATTTATTTGAGCAAACATTCATATATGTCCATTGCTGGCCTGATCATTCATTTTATCACAGCAGTCATAGTAAAAAGCCAAACGCTTCACAAAGGAAAGGCAAAATGGTAACGTTTTAACATTGAAGTGGTCTTTCAAAACGCTGACATAGCTATTGTACGAATACTATAATGAGACATATCATGATTGACAGTAAAAGTACTTTTCTCAACTGACGTAACACTATTATTATGATGCCCAAAACTATCAAACGTTCAAACGTCTCAGATTTCCCCCATTTTACTCTCTGAAGTCAAAATTATTATGTCAGTTTTCAGGCTGAGCTTTGACGAACCGTTATGACACATGCTATGTAGACATTATGATAGGCTGTTTCAAGTCAAAGTATTACCAACCGAAAGACAAAAAAAAACATCTGCAGATTCCTAACAGGTGATTCACTCACGGCAACGAAGCAGCGAGACATTTAGAACGAAGCACATCAAAAGGGAATCATCAAAAATAATTACACTCATAAGAAGTATCCAGTGTAGCTGCTGCACACGGCACGGGCCGGGTAGCAGATTGGTCCTCCTGCCAGCTACTCTGCACCACCTCGGTTAGTGACAATATCACCTGGAGGCTGGAGCACACATCGTAATGACAAAGCGGGCATCTTTTGTCTTCATTCAGTCCCGGTGCGCAGGGAGCTAGGATGGAGGAATGCGAGGACAAGTGGAAGGAGAGGGGCATTCAGTGGCAGTGCGGAGGATGAAGGTGTAACATTTTTCTTTACAATACACCACCTTTCATTGACATAGAGAAAAATAAAAGCTGGAGCCTGGCCCTTCGCCATATCTCTAAGCACATGCCACCCAGTAACAAGCAGAAATGTCTCCAAAATCATCCGGTCCACTCTTTGGGGAAGGGAGTCGTTCAAATGGTGGGCGATTTACTTGTACTTGATACACACAATGTGCTTCTATAGGCTTTGTTCATGGAAAACGTTCTCCCATGTCTCCAAATTGTCTGTGATATAGACAAGAGGCCTGACCTCCTGAACTCAGGCTCCAGGGTCATACCAGGGTCAAAGGTCATTGGAGATTCTAGAGCAAGTTCTTGGTTGTAGAGCAGAGGAAGGCCAAGGTCAACCTCACAGTTCATACAGGCCTCAGGCGTACCGTGATACCTGTTAGGTTGGTTGTCACTCGTCTGTCAGTATATATACATTACACACATGTGTATGGCACAGGTCAGCATCCTCAAACTGTCTTTTCTCAGTCAACGAGTTTGTCCAGTGTCTGTCTGTCAGTCACATACAGTAGTTCTCAAGCGACCCAAAGTCTTCACTGCCTCAAGCCCACTATTTTATCTCTCTTTCTTTCTCTCTGTCAAGCTCATTATTTTTTCCTCTCCTCCTTTCATCCCATTCCCTCTCCTTTCTTCCATCACTCTTTTCTTCTCTTTCTCTCTCTCTCTCTCTCTCTCTCTCTCTCACTCTCACTCTCTCTCTCTCTCCATCCCTCCCCCTCTCTCAGGTGCAGCAGTGTGGCTCCAGGGGGTGGCCCTGAGGGGTGGAGGAAGAGGAGGATAAGGAGGACGAAATGAGGGAAGGGTAGGGGGTCATCTTGTCGATGTTGACGTAGGTGGTGTTGAGAAGGATGTAGTGCTCTCCGCTGAAGCTGGAGAAGATGGACTTGATACGAGACACCAGCTCTGAGAAGGTAGGCCTCTGCTCCGGCTTAGGGTGCCAGCACTCAACCATCACGTTATACCTTGGGGGTGGGAGATAGGGGAAGGGGTTAAGATTAAATGCACATTAAATACAGTTTTTAGGTACATACATTTTGCTTACTTAGGTGTTTAGTAGCCACTAGCCATTTTGTTTGACAGTTTTGTTACAGGGCCCCATTAATTCTGGAAACCCTCTATGTCAGTCAATGTCCATGAATAGACTCATGAATAGTTATCGATCATTCCTGTCTGTCTGTCTGTCTGTCTGTCTGTCTGTCTGTCTGTCTGTCTGTCTGTCTGTCTGTCTGTCTGTCTGTCTGTCTGTCTGTCTGTCTGTCTGTCTGTCTGTCTCTCTCTCTCTCTCTCTCTCTCTCTCTCTCTCTCTCTCTATTCCCTGCTTGGTGTTCTCACCACCTCACTCCCTCCCTCACTATGTCCTGTCTATCGGTGTCTTCTCTCTCTCTCTATCTCGTCCTCTCTCTTCCTCTTCTCGTATCTCTCTATATCCTCTCGCCTATCTACTCTCTACTCATCCCTCTCCTCTTCCTCTCTCTCTCCTCTCTCTCTCTTCTCTCTCTCTCCTCTTCTCTCTCTCTCTCTCTCTATCCCTGTCGTGCATTATCTGTCCGTCTTCCAGCTACCTAGGGCAGTGTTAACAATGGGCCTCTGTTCATCTCAATGTCTCTGCCAATGAGAAGCACTGAGCCATGCTCTATGTACATTGGTCAAGGTGAAGGACAGGGGTGTGGTGTGTGTGTGTGTGTGTGTGTGTGTGTGTGTGTGTGTGTGTGTGCACTTCTATTAATAAAAGCATCTGTCTTATATCTGGGAGTGGTTGGGTATAAGCTTGAGGAGTGTAAATGTGTGTGTGTGTTTGTGTGTGTGCAAGATTGTGTGTGTACTGTCTGTCTGTCTGTCTGTCTGTCTGTCTGTCTGTCTGTCTGTCTGTCTGTCTGTCTGTCTGTCTGTCTGTCTGTCTGTCTGTCTGTCTGTCTGTCTGTCTGTCTGTCTGTCTGTCTGTCTGTCTGTGTGTCATGTGTTTCCACTACTCACAGTGCATCGGGGCAGAACTCTGGCTGCAGCAGGCGTCTCCCCTGCAGTAGGAACACTGTGATGTCGAAAGAGTTGACGTCCGAGTAGGGTGGGGCTCCCCGGGTCATCAGTTCCCATAGCAACACACCAAATGACCACTGAAACACGGAACACCAAACGAACCAATAACACATCAGATCACATCACAGTACTTTACAGGCTGTGTCTGAAATGGCACCCTATTTCCTATCAAATGCGCTACTTTTGACCAGAGACTTATGAGCCCTGATCAAAAGTGGCACAGTACATAGGGTACAGGGTGCCATTCCGGACTCAACCCCAGTCCTAATGAGCATATTTCCCTCCGGCCTTCATTGAAGAGAGCAGACAGACAGGAGGAGTGTTAAATGCAGCTAAGGTTAGTGAGATAATAGACTGAGCTATAGAGGTAGAAACTGTAACAGAGACAAGCTAACCCTATAAACAGAAACTGTAGCAGAGACAAGTTAATTCTATAAACAGAAACTGTAACAGAGACAAGTTAATTCTATAAACAGAAACTGTAGCAGAGACAAGCTAACCCTATAAACAGAAACTGTAGCAGAGACAAGCTAACCCTATAAACAGAAACCGTAGCAGAGACAATCTAACCCTAACCCAGGTCTCCGGCAGCCTCTGGAACTGCCGTTCTGCGGCCAACAAGGCAGAATTAATCTCAGCCTATGCTACCCTCCAGTTCCTCGACTTCTTGGCGCTGACGGAAACATGGATTACCACAGAAAACACTGCTACTCCTACTGCTCTTTCCTCGTCTGATCATGTGTTCTCGCATACCCCGAGAGCATCTGGTCAGCGCGGCAGTGGCACAGGAATCCTCATTTCTCCCAAGTGGACATTCTCTCTCATTTGAATTCTATGCTGTCACAGTCACTAGCCCATTCAAGCTTAACATCCTTGTCATTTATCGCCCTCCAGGTTCCCTTGGAGAGTTCATCAATGAGCTTGACGCCTTGATAAGTTCCTTTCCTGAGGATGGCTCACCCCTCACAGTTCTGGGTGACTTTAACCTCCCTACGTCTGCCTTTGACTCATTTCTCTCTGCCTCCTTCTTTCCACTCCTTTCCTCTTTTGACCTCACCCTCTCACCGTCCCCCCCTACTCACAAGGCAGGCAATACACTTGACCTCATCGTTACTAGATGCTGTTCTTCTATTAATCTCACTTCAACTCCCCTCCAAGTCTCCGACCACTACTTTGTATCCTTTTCTCTCTCGCTCTCCTCCAACACTACTCACTCTGCCCCTACTCAGATGGTAATGTGCCGTCGCAACCTTCGCTCTCTCTCTCCCACTACTCTCTCCCCTTCCATCCTATCATCTCTTCCCTCTGCTAAATCCTTCTCCCTCCGATCTCCTGATTCTGCCTCCTCAACCCTCCTCTCCTCCCTTTCTGCATCTTTTGACTCTCTATGTCCCCTATCCTCCCGGCCGGCTTGGTCCTCCCCTCCTGCTCCGTGGCTTGACGACTCATTGCGAGCTCACAGAAGAGGTCTCCGGGCAGCCGAGCGGAAATGGAGGAAAACTAGACTCCCTGCGGACCTGTCATCTTTTCACTCCCTCCTCTCTACATTCTCTTCCTCTGTTTCCGCTGCTAAAGCCACTTTCTACCACTCTAAATGTCAAGCCTCTGCCTCTAACCCTAGGAAGCTCTTTGCCACCTTCTCCTCCCTGCTGAATCCTCCTCCTCCTCCCCCTCCCTCCTCCCTCTCTGTGGATGACTTCGTCAACCATTTTGAAAAGAAGGTTGACGACATCCGATCCTCATTTATTAAGTCAAATGACACCGCTGGTCCTGCTCACACTGCCCTACCCTATGCCTTGACTTCTTTCTCCCCTCTCTCTCCAGATGAAATCTTGCGACTTGTGACGGCCGGCCGCCCAACAACCTGTCCGCTTGACCCTATCCCCTCCTCTCTTCTCCAGACCATTTCCGGAGACCTTCTCCCTTACCTCACCTCGCTCATCAACTCATCCTTGACCGCTGGCCATGTCCCTTCCGTCTTCAAGAGAGCGAGAGTTGCACCCCTCCTCAAAAAACCTACACTCGATCCCTCCGATGTCAACAACTACAGACCAGTATTCCTTCTTTCTTTTCTCTCCAAAACTCTTGAGCGTGCCGTCTCTAGCCAACTCTCCTGCTATCTCTCTCAGAATGACCTTCTTGATCCAAACCTGTCAGGTTTCAAGACTGGTCATTCAACTGAGACTGCTCTTCTCTGTGTCACGGAGGCTCTCCGCACTGCTAAAGCTAACTCTCTCTCCTCTGCTCTTATCCTTCTAGACCTATCTGCTGCCTTTGATACTGTGAACCATCAGATCCTCCTCTCCACCCTCTCCGAGTTGGGCATCTCCGGCGCTGCTCACTCTTGGATTGCGTCCTACCTGACAGGTCGCTCCTACCAGGTGGCGTGGCGAGAATCTGTCTCCGCACCACGTCCTTTCACCACTGGTGTCCCCCAGGGCTCAGTTCTAGGCCCTCTCCTATTTTCTCTATACACCAAGTCACTTGGCTCTGTCATATCCTCACATGGTCACTCCTATCATTGCTACGCAGACGACACACAATTAATTTTCTCCTTTCCCCCATCTGATAACCAGGTGGCGAATCGCATCTCTGCATGTCTGGCAGACATATCAGTGTGGATGTCGGATCACCACCTCAAGCTGAACCTCGGCAAGACGGAGCTGCTCTTCCTCCCGGGAAAGGACTGCCCGCTCCTCGCCATCACGGTTGACAACTCCATTGTGTCCTCCTCCCAGAGTGCAAAGAACCTTGGCGTGACCCTAGACAACACCCTGTCATTTTCCGCTAACTTCAAAGCGGTGACCCGATCCTGCAGGTTCATGCTCTACAACATTCGCAGAGTACGACCCTACCTTACACAGAAAGCGGCACAGGTCCTAATCCAGGCACTTCCTCGGACTAATTCATCTCCCGTCTGGATTACTGCAACTCGCTGTTGGCTGGGCTCCCTGCCTGTGCCATTAAACCCCTACAACTTATCCAGAACGCTGCAGCCCGTCTGGTGTTCAACCTTCCCAAGTTCTCTCATGTCACCCCGCTCCTCCGCACACTCCACTGGCTTCCAGTTGAGGCTCGCATCTACTACAAGACCATGGTGCTTGCCTACGGAGCTGTGAGGGGAACGGCACCTCCTTACCTTCAGGCTCTGATCAGACCCTACACCCAAACGAGGGCACTACGTTCATCCACCTCTGGCCTGCTAGCCCCCCTACCTCTACGGAAGCACAGTTCCCGCTCAGCCCAGTCAAAGCTATTCGCTGCTCTGGCACCCCAATGGTGGAACAAGCTCCCCCACGACGCCAGGACAGCGGAGTCACTGACCACCTTCCGGAGACACTTGAAACCCTACCTCTTTAAGGAATACCTGGAATAGTATAAAAGTAATCCTTCTCCCCCACCCCCCCATAAAAATAAAAAATAAAATACAAGTGGTTGTCCCACTGGCTATCATAAATTGAATGCACCAATTTGTAAGTTGCTCTGGATAAGAGCGTCTGCTAAATGAGTAAATGTAAATGATAAACAGAAACTGTAGCAGAGACAAGCTAACCCTATAAACAGACACTGTAACAGAGACAAGCTAACCCTATAAACAGAAACTGTAGCAGAGACAAGCTAACCCTATACATTAACCAGAGATTGAACAGTAAGTGGTGGTTTGTTAAGAAAGAGTGGGGCTGAGAGGGTAGCAGGCCAGATTAAGCCTGATGCTGATTTATCATAGGTTCTCATCAATACTGTGTGTGTTTCTGTGTGTGTGTGTGTGTGTGTGTGTGTGTGTGTGTGTGTAGAGGTAGTAGAGTAATAGTGTGTGTGAGTATGAATAGATGAGAGAGTGGTTATGTAATATTATACAACGGGTGGGTCTAATCCTGGATGCTGATTGGTTAAAACCGCATTCCAGCCTGTGTCAATTCCACAAGTAACCACCGGCTAAGGCTATGATGTTGAAATGCCTATTCGCTGTTCCAACTCACTGCCCAACCAGGCAAGTTATAAACTTGATCTATACTGTAAAAAGGCATCTAGACATTATCTCTCATTTCTTTTAGACTAGCATTTGGTTTTCAACAGCGGAGATTTGTATAAACCTTACTGTCTGTCGCTCCGAACTTTGCAACATTGTTTCAATATTGAAATTCGATCTCCACTGTCCCATTGAGGATTAACGTGTCAGGACAAGACAGACAGATTTTCTCAGCCAGTTGAACTCATGAATCAGCATAATTTTTATGGATATATACAAAGAAATGTCAATAGAAAAACAGGTAAAACTAAACGAAATGCAGCTAGTTTGCTGACTTTCCAGCTTCAGTTTGAAGTGATTGTGTTAGTTGTGTGGTTGGCTAGCTCCTCTGAACAGTGTCCTGACGAGTAAGCACATTTCTGATGCCAGGCAAAATAGCGCATCATTAGCTCATTGTTATGGACGTATCCAAATATATGTCACTAGAAAACATCTTAAACAAACGCAAATGCAGCTACTTTGCTGTTATTCTGGCTGCATTGTTTGACGTGACTGTGTTATCCGTAGTTGGCTAGCTAGCAAGCAAGGGATAAGAACGTTGCCAGCCAGCATGGCAATGGAACATTTAGAACGAATGACTGGGTTGCGTCCATAGATATAGAACCAAAAGACTTCACGACTGGGTTGCGTCTCTGGCAACCTAACCGATAGCATGAACGTCCAGCCGGCTTGGGTAGCAACCCTAGATTTGTGTCAGGACTATATCTTGTGGAAGGATGAAATGGTATGTATAAATTCATCAAAATAAAGTTTTTAATGAAAATATGTCAATCATTATTTGAATATGTTGGTAACCCGTTGTATAAAAGTGATAATGCCCTCGAAGCCGGTGATTGGAGGATATGTTGGCACGGTTTGCCGGCCCTTGACTTTGTCTCGGGCCTAACAACACCCTTGCCAATATATCCTCCAAACACTGGCTTCTCGGGCATTATCACTTAACTGTAAGTGAATGAATGAGTGGATAGTGGTGTGTGTACATGCATGTCTGCATGTGTGTGTGTGTGTGTGAGTGTGTGTGTGTGTGTGTGTGTGTGTGTGTGTGTGTGTGTGTGTGTGTGTGTGTGTGTGTGTGTGTGTGTGTGTGTGTGTGTGTGTGTGTGTGTGAGTGTGTGTGTGTAGGCTCTCACCACATCTGACTTGGGGGTGAACTTGTGTGTCTGCAGGCTCTCCAGGGCCATCCACTTGACCGGTAGTTTGACTCCACTCTTGCTGTGGATGCTGTAGTACTCCTTATCATACACATCCCTGGCCAGGCCAAAGTCTGCCACCTTCACTGTGTAGTTCTCATCCAGCCTAGCAGAGGAGAGAGGGATTCAACCACAGCCTTACTGGATATATACAGAGCTAGGGGAAACTGGCAGCCATGTTGGATTCAAACATTCTTACTAGAGTGTAATTAACCTGTAATGGTTGGAGCAAAATTGTGCCCATTAAAATTTAAACTCTCAAAGTATGCATGACTGTATGGCATGACTGAATGCGTTAGCTCTCACTACAGTGGTGATTACTCTTCCACACACTGACTGTCTGAGAGTGCATTTGACAGTTGGTTCCAGATCTTACATGCAGTTCCTGCCGGCTAGGTCTCTGTGGACGAACTTCTTGCTGGCCAGATACTCCATGCCCCTGGCCACCTGCACACCAAAGCCCATCAGGTCCTTCACTGTTGGGTTCTGGGGAAACAAGGAAGAGTGTGTTTAGGTGATATGCACATCCCAAATATATCCACCGGTGCTGGGCCAAAAAAGACTGAATAGCCCGCACGCGGTACAGATGTAGGATTCTAATTTGACCAGTTTCTCACAGCAGGACAATAATCCTGCAGCAACAGGAAATGTGAATTATTGTGTGGATTATAATTAATGGACATTTTTGTAGGAGTCGATACATTTTTAGTTAGGGCAAATCAAGTCTGAACATTTAAAGTGGAAATTACAAACTTTAGAAGCCTTTTTAAACCTTGAATACACTACAAGTTTGCATTTTCTGCTGTGCAGGACATTTCCTGCAACAACAGGGTGATCAAATGAAGATCCTACATCTCTATATGCTGCTCCGATGCTTTATTCCTGTACCTAAATATACAATGTTTCAGCTGCAATGGCCTTTGTCAGTCATTATTCCAGCCAAAACACTATGTCTTATAAAGGTGATTGTATGACCAGAGTGTGTGTGTGTGTGTGTGTGTGCATCTTACGTGTGTCTCGTCCCTGATGAAGTTCCTGAGGTCTCCATGCTTCATGTATGGCAGCACTACCAGAGGAGAGCCCTCAGGGGGCAGACAGATCCCCAGGAGAGACAACACGTTGGGGTGGCTGAAGTCCTTCATGATGATCCCCTCCTTCAGGAACTGAGACACCTCCTCCAGGTCAGTGATCCCTGAAACACGGCAAGATATTACAGGATTGTTTATTTATTTACTGCCTTTATTTAACCAAGTTGTGGAGAAGAGAACGCATTCTCTTTTACAACATCCTGCCATTAAAGTCTGTATTATAATCATGCGCTGATAGATGGGCCACCAACAAAAACGCAATCAAAAACAGGCCATCAAGCCATAAACCTCTATCTCTTTACCATTGTGTCGTCTAAACCTTAGTTATATACCACTGTTAGGAGCCCATGAGGGGTCAGTCTCCAGGCTGTCTGAGCATAGGGACTGTGACCCTACCCCAAACCTATAGGCTACCGCTAAACAACACTCCCATTACCCAATCGAATCAGTGCTCCTGGTGTCACTGCTCTTTCCCCCTCCTCCTCTCTTCTAATCTCATTTGAAACAGTATCTCATTTAGCTAAGATAAAACAGCTGATTGCCCTTTCACTGTACCTACCAGATGACGACACACACAGGAGCAAAGAAGGACGACTCGCCATTTAGTGCTGAGTAAAAGAAAGATAAAATAATATCTAGGAAAACGAGGCTGTTAAACTGGATGTTAAGAACTATGCCAACTGCAGAAACAACATGGTGACATCACCTACAATATTCACCAAACCCTGTGCCTTTGCCATGACAGTGACAAAGTTCCCTGGGGAACTTCTTTCTTTTATTTAAAGCTCCCTGGGGAACTTTAGGTCACTGTAAACTCAATGAGAAGGCCAAGGTTCAGAGAACAAGACAGTGGTAACCCTCTATCGCTATGGGTTACCACCAGCCCAGCGGCAGAGCTTCCCGAAGCCTTATGGAAGACTTATCTAGGACATTCATCTCTCAGGGTAACGTGACAGGTTACACGATTAGAGAGAGGGGCAACCTAATGTCATCCTCACCACCAGGAGCCAATCCATCTCAATCATCCTTCCACAAGACACACCACTGTTGCACGTTCAAGAGATGAGATAAGCCCTCTAGTGTTGTTGCAGCGTTGCGTTGCGTGGTGACATCATATCAGAGCAATGAGATTTGAATGAACACTGACGGGGTGAACTGTGCCTTTGTGGTCATGCAGTACTCACGGTTGAGGGACTTGATGGCACAGTGCTGCTTCTGTCCGTCAGCCTCCAACAGGGTCCCGTGGAACACACAGCCAAAGTGCCCTGTATGAAGAAGAATACAGATGGTGTCAAATAAGCAAAAACCTGAGTGTTTGATGTTAGACAATGCACAATGTACACTGAGGAATCCTTGATAGCGAAACTATTTGTTTGTTTATGAACTATGTTCACGAGGATTAAGCACCCAATTCTCTAGACCATTAAGTCATTTGGAGGCATGTCAATGGAGCAGTCAGTCACTCAAAAAAGCAAGATTTCCCTTTGTTGAAGCCAGTGGTGTAAAGTACTTAAGTAAAAATAATTTTAAGTACTACTTAAATAGTTTTTTTGGGTATCTGTACTTTACTTTTACTCTACTACATTCCTAAAGAAAATAATGTACTTTCTACTCCATACATTTTTCCTGACACCCAAAAGTACTCGTTACATTTTGAATGCTTAGCAGGACAGGAAAATGGTCCAATTCACACACTTATCAAGAGAACATCCCTGGTCATCCCTACTGCCTCTGATCTGGCAGACTCACTAAACACACATGCTTCATTTGTAAATGATGTCTGAGTGTTGGAGTGTGCCCCTGGCTATCTAAATTACAAAAACAAAAAAAATTGTGCCGTCTGGTTTGCTTAATATAAGGAATTTTAAATGATTTATACTTTTACTTTTGATACTTAAGTATATTTGAGCAATTACATTTACTTTTGATACTTAAGTATATTTAAAACCAAATACTTTTAGACTTTTACTCAAGTAGTATTTTACTGGGTGACTTTCACTTTTATTTGAGTCATTTTCTATTAAGATATCTTTACTTTTACTCAAGTATGACAATTGTGTTCTTTTTCCACCACTGGTTGACTTCTATAACCCTTTACTGGAGGCCCATTCATACCCTACAGTAGTAGCCATAGCAGTGGGAGGCTATATCTCCCCCTATCTGAGCTCTGAGTTACCGTGGCCCTTATTTAATTATATGTGGTCGGGAGGGTTCAGTGCAGCTTTGCAGGGGTGTTGGGGTATTAAAGCTCAAGGAGCATAGAGAACTCTCCGAGGCGTTCTCCCATCACAATCCCTGCAGATGCAAAGAGGGTTCAGGTTACACCACACGGATCAACAATGGAGCTCGCAATTCTACCCGGGTACAAATCATCCCACGCCACCCCATAATTCTGCTTTCGGAATCCCCAGGCTTCCCCGAGGATCAAGCCAAGGGGGAGGGAGCAGTTTTTGTGAGCACTGTCTCCGAACAT